CTTCTCTCTCTCTCTCTCTCTTAAATAATTTATTTGCTTGTATTTTATGTGCACTGGTGTTTTGCCTGCATGTATGTCTGGGTGAGGGTGTCAGATCTTGGAGTTACAGACAGTTGTGAGCTACCATGTGGGTGCTGGAAATTGAACCTGGGTCCTCTGGGTTCAAAAAGCCAGTGCTCTTAACCACTGAGCCATCTCTCCAGCACACACACACACACACACACACACATTTTTTTTTTTTTCTCTCTCTCTCTTCTGAAGATCTTCATAAAGCAATGAGGCTGGGCTGGGCTGGGCTGGGCAGCATATGCTTTTTGCTTTGTAGAAGAGGAACCTCACTAGCTGGTAGGGAGAGAGACTGGTAAGAGAGGGCAGGAGCGCCGTGCCACACACACCCCACCCTGCTCTGGGTGCTCCCTCTACTCTGCAGCTAAGGCATGCCTGTGTCCCCAGAACTGTCTCCTTCCAAACACCTCACACCTCTGCTGTGCTTTTTCGTGCCTGTCGTGTTTCCCCTTGTCTTTTACAACGTAGTGTGACAGTCAACAATAATAACCACCGTTTGTTGAGTGTGCGCTCTGTTAGATCCGTGGCACCAGCCGCATACAATCCTTCCAACACCCTTTGGATGATAGTGTTTTTCTTTTCATTTTACAGAGAAGAAAAGGCTGGGAGAGATCAGGGACTCTAAATCCAGGTCTGATCCCAAAGCTCACTCTTGCTATGGCATCATGGTGCCTGGTGAAGTGCATACGGTGTTCCAGAAAAGTGAGGGTGTCTCACTCGTGCAAGTGCATACACATCCCCCTCTCCCTACAGAACTCCACAAACTTGGCTTGAGTCACTCAGAGTCTTGGTCTATGCAATGAGAGGTTGATGAGAAGGTTCCCAAAGTCCTTTTTATTTTCATTGTTTTGTTTTTTGATGGGATAGGTCACTGCAGCCCAGGCTAACTTTGAAGTCGCGATACTCAGTGTTTCTCTTGTCTCAGACTTGCAAGTACTGGAATGGCCCTTCCTTTTGCTTTTCTAACTAAACGTGGTGCTTTCGTTCTCCTGAGGCTTACTCATGCATTCTGGGTAAAGAAAAATATGGGAAAACTCCTCCTACTCGGGATTAGTGAATGCTAAATGTCCCAGAACCATTGAGAAAAGAATTATCACTCAGTTGAAGAAAGGACGCCTACATGACTGTCACCACTAGAGGGCACTCCACTGTTCACTACAATGTGCCTGGACAGACTTAGATCCCTGCCATGGGAGAAATAACCTACTGTGGTACTCTAAGTTTGTAAACTCTGACCTACACAGGCTGATAAATAACTCAGATCATAGCCCCTACACCAAGCTCTGTGACTTTCCTAGAGCCTACTGTGACTGTACCTTCAGGGACCATTTCTACTGTTCATTCCCCAGAGCCTGGGGACATGTAGCTGGGAGCCTGTACTCACCAGACATTCGAAAAGTGGGCAAGTCCTATTAAGGAAAAAGAGGTTGGAGACTGTTGTTGTCACTGGCCAGACCACTATTCCTTATGAAGTATACTCAACAGACTATGAGGGGGAGGGGAGGGAGGGAGAGGAGGGGAGGAAGAGGGGGGAGAGGGAGTGAGTATGGGTTTTGTTAAAAATTTCCTCTTGCCTGATCTTTTTGAAGGCAGTCGGGAATGATCAAGAGAATCTAATGAAACTCAAGGTTTTGGAGAGCAAAACCGTAAGCTAATCTTGACTGAATACAATCCTCTAAGAACTAGCCCCTTCCTCACTACAGAGGAGCAGGGAAGGAGCTGTTTCCAGGGCAGCTCCTATGGCCGGTCCCAGGGCTAGGGGCCTGCTGATAACATCAAGACTGAGAGGTTAATTCCCCCTAGCACCTGGGTAAGTGTGGGGACTGCCTGTAAAAGCCCCGCAGGGGAAAGCCCGTGGCTCCCAGGAAAGTATTTTACATATACACCAGAAGCATCTCTTTCCAAAGTCCCCTTCCAATAAATACCTCTTCCCACAGACAAATGCTACAGCAAAATTTCAGAAACCCCCCTCTTCCCCACACCCCTGCCTCTCACTAGTTTAGCTAGACTGCAATTTCTTCTTAAGTTTAGCCATCTGTAAGGATTTTTTCCCAAAAAAAAAAAAAAAAAAAAAAATGAGCCTTGTTGCCCAGGGAACCCTATACTAGCCATAGGGTGGTTGGACTGCCCATTCTCTCTCACCCACCAGATGGCAGACACATGCCAAGCAGCTCCCACAAATACTACCAAGGCCCCTGCCAGCTCAGACTGTAGAATCAACATATGGTAGTGACTATTATTTTAAGACGACAAAAGGGTCACAGAAATCTGCAGAGATCCTGGTGGCATCTTGGAGTCTGGGGACTTGAGGTTCAAGGACCACAGCGGATCTGTAGGCTCTGGTTGATGCTCCCTGCCTGGCTTAAGTCATCTGTATTCACGAAGGCACCCTCCTGGTGCTGCTCTGTTTAATTCTGGGTGTGTTATAAATAGAAGCTACAGTTCTGTCGGAGCACACCACCACCCACCACCGTGTTCCGGTCCTCTGGGGACATCAGCCAGATCTGAGCCTTTGTTTCCCTCTAGTGGCCTCTTTCGGCAAGTCTCACAGCCGAGCCTCTGCACTGATTTATTCTGTATATCGCAAGGGCCTCCTGGATGCACTTGGGTGGTGGAGCCAGTCTCTAGCTTTGTGTGAGGCTAGGATGACTCTGGCGGTTTCCGTCGAGATGGAAGCCAGTGATTCCTCCTCCATGCTCATCTCAACACAATGCAGACAGGCCACTTTCTCAGCTTTCCTGGGGGCTGCTGTGGGGAACTAGAGGGAAATGGATTATGTTAGAGAGTGCTTCTGCTCTAAAGGAGTTATCACGACCTCGTAGCAGGATTCTTCTCCCCCATGCCTTAGTTTGCTTGTCAGTAAAATAGGTCTAAATGCTGACTGGCTATCTGCCATGTATTCAGACCCACAATGCAAAAACATGTTAATTTACAGGAAATCTTTCTCCCACACACAGTAAAAGGAAACTGAAAGTATTATTTCTAAACCGATTGTGCCACATAAGCTGGGCAACGCGTACATTTGTTCAAGCACAAGTGTGACATGTGGGTTTCATCTCACTGTGTTGTGTTTTACACCACATTTGTTCCAAGAGAACTTGATGTACACATGATAGAAAGTGGCAAGAAGCAGATGTCGGGTTGTGAACTGCCTGACATGGGAGTTGGGAACCGAGCTCTAGTCCTCTGGAAGAACAGCCAGTGCTCTTCACTGCTGAACCTCCTCTCTAGCCCCATCTTCTTAGAGGTTTTTTAGCCCAGGTAGCCCCAAACTTTGGGTTCTTCTGCCTTAGCCTCCAAGCGCTGGGGGTGGCAAGCACGGGGCGCTGTACTCAGCTCTTGTTTTCTTTACTCTAAAGGCAAGGTCTCCCTGTCATGCCCAAGTTCAAGTCATCTTCTAGCCTCAGCGCCCTGAGCACCTGGGATTACAGATGTGCATCAGCATGACCAGTGAGACACTTAACAATAACAACATTTCATTCACAAAGTGCTAAACACTATACTAGACAGATGATTTGCAGACAGTATTTCTAATATTTACAAAGCCCTTGCTGTGATCAGTTGCCCACGATTTCTTTTCTCTACATTTGTGTAATCCTTCTATTGTGAATAATTTCCCTTCTTATTACAGTGGCATTTGTCATCTTTTCATCCTCCTAAATGTATGCCACTGGAAAACAAGACTCATTCTGGGGTTAGAGCAGCAGCTCATTTGAAGAATAAGAACGTTCTCATTGAAAAATAAGAAGGTTCTCATTTGAAAACTAAGAAGGTTCTCACTGAAACAGAAAAGCTGGGGGGTTCTCTCCAGCTTCAGTGACTCTGTAACTTCAGGAACAAGAGCTGCCTGTAGCTCGACCCAGGGCTTGTGTGACTGCCATCCTTCCAGAAGCTTCTGGTAGATGACAAGACATACTTGACTTACGTCATTCGGTGTTGTTTACCGAGGTACTAAGAACCGAACCTAGGTCCTCTCATGTGCTGAGCAAACACCGACCACTGGGCGATAGCCACAAGCCTCTCTTCACTTTGTTTGTGCTTGGTCTTTTCTTTTCTTTTCTTTCTTTCTTTCTTTTTTTTTTTGGTTTTTCGATACAGGGTTTCTCTGTGTAGCTTTGCACCTTTCCTGGAACTCACTAAGTTGCCCAGGTTGGCCTTCAACTCCCTCTGTAGCCTAGGCTGACCTTGAACCTTTCATCCACCTGCTTTAACCACCCAAATTTCTGGGATTATAAGCCTATACCACCAGGCCCAGCAAGGATCTCATAATTGATTTTAAAAAGCAAACAACAATAAAACTATAAGAGGAATTGACCATGGTGGCTAGTGAGGCAGGAGGGTTACTAATAGTTTGAGGTTAACCTGGCCTAAATAGTACACTCATGGTCAGCCCGAGCTATGATGTGAAACCTTGTCTTGAAAAAAAAAGAAAGAAAAAAGAAAAACAAAAATAACAAAAAAACCCAGGGGCTAAAGAGATGGCTCAGCAGTTATGAGCATTGGCTGCTCTTCTAGAGGACTGAGGTTCAATACCCAGCACCCACATGGCAGCTCACAACTGCCTGTAACTCCAGTTTCAGGGGATCTGACACCTTCACACAGACATACATGCAGGCAAAACATGAATGCACATGAAATAAAAATAAATTATTAAAAACAAACAAACAAACCACGGCCAACCAACACATTAACGAGGAAAGAAAGACAGGCACCCAGAGGGTGAAATCCAGGGAGTCTGAAGCGGCTTTGGCTCTGCTCCTGGGAGGAGCCAGTGGCAGGCAAAGGACTTCTCCTTCCAGCCCGGGATCTCCAAAGCCTTGACCTGCCCCTTCCCTGCCTACGGGAGCTCCTGTGGTTTATTTCTTGGGATCTCTGCCCCGTGCACACTGTCCTCCAGCATCTGCATTGCTCATTAGAGGTTTCTCCTCTTTCAGTATCCTATTATGTTGGAACGTTGGGGACTCACACTGAGATCAAGAGAGTGGCGGAGGAAAAGGTTACCTTGCCCTGTCACCATCAACTGGGGCTTCCAGAGAAAGACACCCTGGACATTGAATGGCTGCTCACGGATAATGAAGGGAACCAGAAAGTGGTAAGTACCCTCCTGGCTAGGGTGGCTCTCCTCTCTACCCTCGCATCTGCTTTCTTCAAATCATTCTCGTCTCACATTAACCTGAATGACTTCACATACAAGAGTACAGAAAAGGACCAAGGTGGTTCACACCTATAATCTTAGCACTCAGGAGGCAAGGGCAAGAAGAACAGGCAAGAAGCTAGCTTGGGCTACATAGTAAAAACCTTGTCTCCCCAAAGAAAAGAGAGACTAGAAGAGTCTCTGTGGTTACAAGAGTAAGAGAGTCTTTGGGCTAGGCAGAACTAGTCCAAAGCCACTGGCACGGGGGAAAGGAGTCTGTGTCATTGGCATCTTCACCTAAGAAGGGAGCTAAGATGCAGCAGCTGTCCCCCAGGCTAGTGGGTAGAGCTCCACGCCCAGAACTCGCTGTCTCCTGCTTCTCTGGAACTCTCATCACCTGCCCAGGTTTTGGACTTGCACAGTCATGACTTCCAGGTTCTAAAGACCACAGGATACGACAAACACCTTGTGATGGAGAGGGGCACGAACAGGACAATGCTGTTCACAAATGTGGCTAGTCCACATGACAACTGCTGCCTCGGAAGTCAAAAAAAAAGAAACAGGCTTGGGACTTCCACGCTCCGTGTAGGTAGAGCCACGATGGGTTTGGGGGTCCTGTGCTTCTGGCAGTGGGGACGAAAGCTGGAGTGCTCAGGCTCCTGACGATGCCCTGGGCTGCCTGTCGGTAGATGCTATGAGCAAGTAACGTACAGTTACCATCCTCTCCGCCTTGGCTGCCTGCAGCCGGGTCTTCCTCGTTCAGGTACTCTACAGTTAAGTTATTCTCATTTACACATTGACTTACTGTTGTTTTTATTAAAAGACTTACCTTTTTCTTTTTTAAAAATATTTATTTTATGTATATGAGTGACCTGTCTTCACGCACACCAGAAGGAACTGGAGTTACGGACAGTTGTGACCTGCCATATGGGTACTGGGAACCGAACCCAGGTCCTTTGGAAGAGCAGCCAATCCTCTTAACCACTGAGCCATCTCTCCAGCCCTGTGATTTTTTTTTTTTTTTAATCTATAACTTGGGAAGTCTTTTAAATTTGCCTTCCTTTTTTTTTTTTATGGAGCTTTGCTTCTTTCTCTGACTTAATTTTTTAAAAAAAGAAAGAAAGTTAGTCCTTTCCTCTAAATGCCCCTGTTACTAATTTCCTAGGATGGTTTGTGCTGGGAGAAGCTAAGGTTCCCACTAAAAACCCATCTCAGGATCACACTGGGGTTTTCAGCTGCTTACACGGCAGCCTGCATCACCTGTTGTGTGACACTGCTTGTCATCCTGTTCTCATAGCACGGCCTCCAGAGACGACCTGTTCTCTGCAGAGCGAGGTCACCTTAACCGGAATGTGTTTGCTCTGAGAATGTCTTGGTCAGTCACAGACATGCTATTCTCAGCTCTGAACAGAGGAAACGGGCGTTTCTGGAATAACAGCCAAAGAGCAACACTGAACAAGACCCTCCTCTGACCCGCCTTGAGTCCAGCTCTTGAGCTCTTCGCGATCTTGGGCCACCTCTTCTGTCCTGGTGGGATCTGTCTGGAGTGAGAGTCCTGCCCAGTCAGTTCAGCGCACTTCTCATGCTGGGCATCTTCAATATCGAATCAACTGGCCAACCTTCCACAAAAATCCCAAGTCGACAGAGACAGACACTCTTACTGCTCAAATCTCTTAATAATTCAAGGCCCCACTTAGCCTTTGAGTCAGAGTTGAGCCAATCTCTGCCCCCAACTCACGACCTGGCAGCAAGTCCCTACAGCTGTCATTACTACCCCAATGGAATAGATGTTCCCACCGTCTTTAACAGATATTGCTGAATATTTTCTCTTTTGTGCATATTGGTGGTTTATCACCACTCACTCAGAACACCTCCCAGTTTTCTCTTTAATCACCACTCATATAACTTTTGCCCAAAAGTTTTCATTTAAAGTAAAGGGGAAAAAGAGCTGCTGAGTTCTATGGCCGAACACCCGGAAGAGTGAGGAAGTTAAGGTAGGGTTAAAAGCTCTGCTCACCTGGCTTTCTGCAGTCGTGAGTTCCTAACTTACCTTCAGCTGATGTTCTAAGGATGGTCGTCTGTTCTGTCATTCAGACCCCACAGATTTGTGTAGCGCTCGCTCTATGCCAGTCTACCTGCCAGGGCGACTGTGAAGAGACCGTCAGATCACTGCCTCCTGGGAGCTTACAGCGAAAGACACTCAATAACTCAGAAAGGAAAGGAGGGGAAAGGAGCTGGGGAGGTAATGCACTCGAGGAAGCACTTACCCAGAATGCACAGAGCCCTGGGTTCAACTCACAGCATCCATCAACTGGATGTGGTAGTGCACACATGTAATCCTAGCACTCATGAGGTGGAAATGGGAAGATCAGAAGTTCAGGGTCCTCCTGAGCTACATAAAGAGTAGGAGTAGTACAGTCGTTGCTACACGAGACCCCGTCTCAATGAACAAGCAAAGATTTAGTCTTCCAGAAACTACAGCGATTTCAGCACATGGTACTTTCGTTTGTTTCCCTTATGAAGGCAAGAATCTTCACCTTTTCACTGAAGGAAGACTTTATGTCTTCTCTTCAGCATATCCAAATTTTTACCATTTCTCTGCTTTAATCTGTGAGTCAGGTTCCTTGAGCATAAGTACTACCTGGACAGCCATCCAAGAACAGCCTGCTGCTGGATGACTGATGAGTGGTCACCTATACAGCATGGACAGGCTGGATAAAGGTACGGTGTATGGATGGCTCAGGCAGGATGGGATAGGACTGCAAAAACTTCCTCACACTACTCAGAACCACGCACAATTTAAATCGTTCATACTGTTTGTTCCTGGATTGGGGGGGGGGGGGGCGCGGCGGGTGGGGGGGGGGAGCGTTCAAGACAAGGTTTCTCTGTGTAGCCCTGGCTGTCCTGAGTAGACCAGGCTGGCTTCCAACTCAGAGATCCACCTGCCTCTACCTCCAAAGTGCCAAGATTAAATGCTTTTTGGACAGTGATTGGCTGCAGGTAATGAAACCCCAGAAAGTGAAACTAGAGATAAGGAGATAAACTAGAGATAAAGCCGGACCACCCCCCAAGACTTGATGGAGGAGGAGGTCAAGGACAGCTTCCTATAGAAGGAAAAAAAAAAAAAGCTGATGCAAAACTTTCGTTTGCTTTTTTGAGACAGAGTCTTGCTATAGCCCAGGGTGCCCTCAAATCCCTGGCAGTCCTCCTGTTCTGCCTCTAAGAATGCTGAGATCAGGGCTGGAGAGATGGCTCAGAGGTTAAGAGCACTGGCTGTTCTTCCAGAGATCCTGAGTTCAATTCCCAGCAACCACGTGGTGGCTCACGACCATCTATGAGATCTGGTGCCCTCTTCTGGCCTGCCTGCAGGCATGCGTGCAGATGGAACACTGTATACATCATCATTATAGAACCCTGAAATCACAGGGATCTATTGCCACACCCAGTGTTTTTACTTTTGAGATAGAGTCTCCATAGCTTGGGCTGGCCTTAGACTTGAAACCCTTTTTCCTCAGCCTTTCCAGTGCCAGAATTACAGGCATAGACCACAACATGCAGCTTTGGGCTAAGTCTCTGAAACATCCCTGAGGGAAACGCACCAGCACAGACTCAAAGGCTGGGAAATCCTAAGCAGCTGGAATGGTGGAGTTAAAGCCGTAAGCCTGTAGGGGCTGCAAGGAAGATCTCCCAGCCAGCCGTACTAGGGAGGTTAAAACCGTTTCTAAAATAATGTCATGGAGTTTTAGAAAGATTGGAGGGGTGCTTGGGACATGTTGCATTTTAAGGCAAACCACTCTGACACAGGTACCGGGAGTTAAGAGAACCTCAACTAAAAGCAGGCATAATTTCATACTATACAATAAAGATTTCCCTTCCCCTGCCTCTTCCTTCACTTGACTCACACCTTAGCAAGTGCATGACTGTGCACAGACACACACACACAAACACATATGCACACACATGCACACATACACACATGCACACACACACAGAGAAATTTTTTAAATATTTTTTTAGTCTCACTTGTATATCCCAAACTGGCCTTACATTCCCCTTCCTCTCCCATCAAGCTCCTGAACGCTGATTCTGCAGGCATTCACCACCACACCCAGTTTACAATAATTTAAACCACAGTCATTCGTACTTGGGAATCTCAAGACAGAGATAAGAAATAAATAGTGGGTAAAGCTGCCAGAACTTTACAACCACTTCCAGGGTGTGGAGAAAGGAGTGGGACTGAGGGTGGGTGCAAGGGACGGGAAGGGCTGAAATAGACAAGTGGTGTGTAGCGGGGGCTAAGCAATGACGCAAATCACAAGTTTAGCTTTGCATTTCAATGTGAGAAATGTTTTCATCTATTTGTCTAGGATGCTCAGAACAGGCAGGGAACATCTGGGGGTGAGTAGGCAGTTCTGGGGACTCGTGTATTTCAGTCTTGGTAGTGTAGCCAAAGAATTCAAGTACTTTTTTCCTTTGTCCTAAGGCTGGATAAATTTCAAAGGGGAAACTCCTCCCAAAAGTCAGCTGGCAACCTACAACAGAATTTTTCTCTATGTTCTCAAATTAAGAAATTAAAACAGGAAGCTGGAGAAATATTGCTCAGTGGTTAAGAGCACCGGCTGCTCTTCCAGAAGTCCCAGGTTCGATTCCCAGCACCCACGTGGCAGCTCACAATTGTCTGTAACTCCAGTTCCAGGGTGTCCGACAAAACACCAATGTACATAAAAATTAAAAAAAGAAAAGAAAAAAGGAATTAAAACAGCAATTTCCAGTTGCCATAGTAACGTCTTACACATCACTCTTTCCTCTCCCCTGTGGCTTAGAGCAAGACCCCTGATGGGAAACAAGAACCCAGGCAGCTAAAATGGCTCGGAGGGTGAGGGTGACGGTGCTTGCATTTCCATTCACAGGACCCACATGGGGAAAGGAGAGAACTGATTCCCACAGGTTGTCTTCTG